CCAACATCGGGTGAGACGGGCCCTGCTCTGATACCATGTTAAATTAGGTCTTAAGCCTAACTCACACCCCAAAAGTTAGCTCAAAGGGAGGAGGATTGCCCAAGCCTTATAAGGAGTCCACCCATCTCATTAACCACCGATGTGGGACTTTTGTCATTCTTTAACAAAAACAGTCTCTTGTTTTCACTTATATTGCTCGGACTCTACAAAAATATTGTCACAGAGGTGACAGATCATTAAAAAATGCACTGCTTTCAAAGGATCGGCACTAGGTAAGTTTGCATATCTAACCTACAAACCGTGTAAAGTTTAAAGGACTATCTAGGTATTTAGCCTTCAATATACGAGCAAGAAGAGTTCGAGAAGATGTTACAAAAATTACCGAAAAGATGGTTTTCCAGGCTGCCTAGTGGCATGAACTCGTAAACCAACAACCTCTGTTCTCCGTGAGTGCAGTATCCGATCAGGTTGACGAGATTGTTATGATGCATTAAACTCAACATAAGTACTTCCACAACAAATTCTTGGTTCCCTTGAAGGCCTTCGAGATTAAGTTGTTTGATCGCGACTATCTGCTCGTAAGATCAAAACACAACTAATCATCAACTGTCACACACACTAAAAATTTAAAGACAAGTTCTGTTTCAAATTCCCCTGTCTTCAATCATTTAGGCTAGTCGCGGAGCTACATAGACCAAAGGGTAGTCAGTTGAACACCCTTCGTTAGACAATTATAATACATAATATAATGAGAATCAAACCATAAAAATTTCGAAAGCAAAAAAACTTGCCTGGCCTGAATCTATACGGCCTTTATAAACGCTTCCAAAGCCGCCTTCTCCAATAAGATTTGTTTCCCTAAAACTCTGAGTTGCGATGGCTAGTTCCTTGAACGCGAAACTGCGAGCTACATTGTTGTTCTTATTGTTACTTTCCCCATTTCTTTTACTTTTCAAAAAGCCTTCCTTTCTCCCATTTCCTATACATGAATAACATCGAAAATTCCACAAAAATGAAAAAAATAAATAAAAATATGTCTCTCCCAAATGCAATTTGAATCTCATACATCCTCAACTTATGTTGCTCAGACTCTTCAAACATATTGTCACGTATGTGTCTAGTCCTTCAAAACCTATACAATTTTGGAGGATCCAACACAGATACAGCAACATTTCGAAGGGTCAAAGCATCAAAATTAGTTCTTAAACAATACGATTCAATAAAATCCTTACCACTTCCAGAATCACTAGAATTCCCCCTTGCGTGCACTGCAAAAAAAACTCGAAACATTTATATATTGTAACAAATACATAAGCACATTGTATATATAACATCTAACACATCATAATTTCACAATTGATAGTAATTATAACCACATTGCATCATATATTACATTCTAAGATTGCTCGAATCCTTCAAAAATTGTCATTGCGGATGTGCCTAATTCCTTAAAAAGTTGTTCCATTTTTGGAGGTTCTGACATACGTGCAACAACATATTTTCAAGACACGAGCAACATAGTGCATAAAGCATCCCACATTCACACAGAAAACACGAAAAGGCCACACTTCAAGGGGTGCAGCGTAGACAATCTACAATAGTGTTTGATTCCACGACTCAAACCCATGATAACACGGAGACAAGTATACCGTTGCTCCAAGGCTATAAAACTTTAATAACATTAAAAGGAAAAAATATGTAAAATTAAATAAAATAAAAATAAAACCTGCAGAATTGTTGGATCTTGAGATCATGTCTTCATCATAATCTTCAATATTCTTAGGACGAGAACTCATGCAAGAAAAGCAACTCATTTTATTTTTATTTTTCAACATTGAAATCTTTGGCCAATTATTTCCAAAACAAAAACAATTTTTTTTAAGAAATTAGAATAATAACACCTCAAATTTCAGCTAGAAAATCATTTGTTGATTACATAATTATAAAAAATAAAAATAGCACAATAATGATATATATAGGAGGAATCAAAAAAACAAATGCAAGATATAAATGGAGCTAAGGAGAGAGAGAGAGATAGTTTATTATTCCCTCTCCCTTTTGAAATGTGTAGAAAAAGATTGAAACTTTCACATTCATAGATCTTCTAATAAAAAAAAACAATATAATGAAAGGACAAATGTAAAAAAAAGGACAGGTAATTATTGTTTGTAATTGTGACAAAAAAACCCCAAAATTAGACAAAGTATGGGG